GTTCCCTCTCTGAGCCGGGCAATCTTGGGCACCTGTCTTGTTCCTACGCCACCTTGCTCCTCCAAGATGAAAGGCAAGAGAGCAGAAGGTAAATTGGAACTGTCTGCCACAGTAGCCTCAGACGCCTGCCAAGATAACGCACACAAATGCGCGCACATGCACACACACCATGCCTTTGCATTCAAACAGCCTTTTATTTTTACAGAATCCAGATGCTAACCTCCCAGGTAGGGTCCCCAAACCCTCCCTTCCCTTGACTAGTTAAATTGCCGGGGCCTGGCCCGAGCCCCCTCCCACACTCGGTTGTGGTCCACCTTGCCATCGGCAACCAGTCTCCACTCTCAACAGGCAAAGCTTTGAAATTACCCTCTTGCCTTTAACATAATGAAATCTTAGGTAGAGTTGGTCTCAATTACTGTTGATTGTTGTTTTAAATAGCAATTTTTTTTTCTTATCTTAAAGGAAAAATTCATCCCTTTGTGGCTGCAAATTTTCAAACAGTTTAGCTTTCATGTCTCCCTTCTTTTGTGTCTAAAAGATTAAATGTGGTGACTTTATCTCCTTAGGACAGGTATAGACGGGTGCAGTTTCTGTATCTGGATGTGAGGTAAAGAGAGAAGCAAACATCTTGGGTTGATGTGATAGAGATGTGTCTGTTTCACAATGAGCAAAGTCTCCCTTGTAAAATTTGTACTTAAGACTTCAGAATTTGTGTGTGTGCTAGGATCTCTTGTTTTTCAAAATCATGGTGTTTTAGCAGAGACCACTGGGAATCACCACATCCTTCTCCTCTCCTTCCACGTTAAGAAAGCTATAGCTGGGCACCTGGCCTTCCAACTAGGGACTCCCTTTCCCAGCCTCCTTTGCAGCTGGGTGTGGTCATGTGACTCAGCTCCCGACCCTGGAAGACCAAGAGAGTGTGAGTTTGTCTTCTCCCACTGCTCCTCCATACTCTTTCCCTCCTCAGGAGCTGGAGCACAGACCTGGCTGCAGCCCACACTGACCACAAAGATGAGGACAATGCCCCAGGGGTTAATGGGAGACTGGATGGAAGGAACCTGAGCCCTGAACAACCGCATGAGCAAAGAGCCCACCTAGCTGCCCTGGACCTTAATGAGAGGGAAACAAGGCTGTTTTTTCAAGCCACTTTGGTGTTGGGTCTGTTTGTTATAGCAGCCTTAGCTTTTTACCCTAATCCACATTCCTTTCTCCCTCCTGCCTCCCTGCATTCCCAATTATGCTACTCAGCTCTCTGCAGACTTCAGAACTGCCCTCAGAACAGCGAGATGGGCACATTCCATTGTTTATCCAGGCATGGGAATGGGGTTACACCCTCCCATCCATCCTATCCCCTGGCAGCCCTGTGAGGCCAACTTACAGCCCAGGGAGAGTTTCCAATGGAATTAAGTGGTGCAATTCAGGCCATCGTGAATTTTGCTCCTTAAAGTCAAATCCATGCTCCTGGCTTCAGTGGGTGTTGTATTCTTGTCAACTGAACCCTGAAATCTTATGACCACACGAGGATGAGGAAATGGACTGAACAGCCAGTTTCTGAAACACATTTCTACCCTTGCCCAACAAGGACAAACCCTGGCCATAAAGCAAGTTGACAGGACAACTGTAATCATTATTGACACTGTATATTCAGCTTCCACCGTGGACCAGGCATTGGGCTAGATCCTTTATATACCTTATTTCACTTATTCTTCACGGGGCCCTCTGGCTGGGAGTAATTCCACCGTTTAGGAGATGAGAAAGCCGGGGCTCAAAAATGCTCCCTGACTTCCCGGCATCACACAGAGAGCAAGGCGGCCCTGGGGTTTGGACTGCCCATTCTGGACCACATGCCCTGTCTGCACCACTGCCCGTGCATTTTCACAGGAGCAGAAACCTGGGTGCTGGGCATTCCTGAGCCTTCAGGGGCTCTGGAGGCAGGGCTGCCGACTGCTCAAGCAAGGTGACAAGGGTAATGTCGGAAATACTTAACATAGTGGGGTTTTCAGTCCAAAAAAAGCGTGTGCTGTCAATCATGTTGGGGAAAAGACACTCAGGGCTCCGAATAGCAAAGTAGGAATTGATCTCGATTTGTGTTGCTCATCTCGGTTGTCAGAACAGTTGGTTCCTAGAGAACCCTTGCTTTTATTTCACTCCAACGGCAGGGATCAAGATTCCAGATGAAAAGGTGGTGGATTTTCACGGGTAGTCTGAATTAGGATGACACTTCTGAGCCTTACTCGTGTCTTATTTTCTGAGGCTAGGCTCTCCCAAGGAGCCGGGCCTGGCCTCCATGACAGCCATTACCACAGTCACCTCCCGTGGCCCCACAGAAACAATTCAGGTGCCCAGGGTTTGAGTGAACCCTGGGGCTAAAGAGAAGGTGAAAACAAGACCCCGTATCTGCGTAGTATCTTAGGAAAGCCAAGTTCATCAAAGGGTCAAGGATGCCGAGAGAATTCTGAAGGTGGCAAACAGAGTCAGAGGTGAAGACTAACTGGCTGGAGTTACTTAGTGGGGCCGTGATTAAAAATAAAATCGGGGCACCCCAGTTGTGACCCCCATTGTTAAACAGTCTCCTGGTTGTCATCTTACCGTTAACGTCCTTCGTGAGTCATCCCAGCTTGGTTAGTAACTTTAAGGTCCTAGACTTCCTGAAGTTGTCTTATCTTAGGAGGTGCCGGACTCCAGATTCTTGGCTTACTGTTCATGGTCTTGGTGCTAATTTTGGCAAGAACAGAGGCTTATACACTGAAAGAGCAATAATATTTTATTTAAAATATATACAAAATTATTACTTTAAAACATATATATTACAGTCCAACATACATCAAAGAACACTGATTGATGTGAATTTTGGTACCTTCATTCATTCAATTTGTGATTTCTCTTTTGCTCAAGGCTCTTGAAGAACATTAAGGGGAGGGCGCCCAGTGGCCTGGTCCCGTTGGTGGTCTGGCTGTGCTGTTGGACACCACTGAGGCCATGCAGCTCTGCCTCGTGGGTTTGAAGGCAAACCCTGGCCTTGCTGGGTGCGCTGGGGACACAGAATTGACAGGACCCACGTCAATCAATCCCACACCAATTGCCCACCCTCAGTCTCTCTGTCATGTCTGGGTGTAAAAGGAGGGGGGAGTTGGTGAGAAAAGGTGTCAAATATTTTCTTGACAAACTCTTTCTTCCCTAGGCTTAGACTAATGTAAATGACATTCACTCTCTCTCCGGCCTCCGTCACCATCTGTACCCCGGGGAGAGAGCATGAAAATGGAGAGCTGGCCTCTTACTACAACCTTGGAAAGGAAATGAGAGGAGAAATACAAAGGGAGCTTCTGTGCTCTTAGGCGGAATTTGGGTTACGATTATCCTGAGATAAGTTGGACGACTGCTTTTGGGCGCAGCCCACGCCTTAGTCATCACTATGTCCCCACAGTGCCTTGCATTCAGTAGGCACTTAACAAATGCTGATTGCATGGATAAAGAAACGAATGCAGGGTATCTGGTGACTACAAGTAGAAAACATATACGTTCTAGAATCGGAGTGTTTGAGAGATGACAGGAACGTTGGAGATCATCTAGACCTGCTTCCTCGCTTGGCAAATGGGGAAACTGAGGCCCAGAGCATGAAGTGACACGAACAAGTTCACATGACTAGTTCCTGATAGAGTTAGACTTGGAATCAGATTTTCTGAATTTCTCCTTAAATTTCTGACTCCCTTCACATCTGAAACTGTAGAGAGAGCTCAATGGACTCAGTGGCGGGCCCTGAATTCAGGAATATCATCCCCCAACCTCCGAAGCTCCCGGTGGTCGGGGTGGCCCTGGCAGCGCGGCCGTACGTGCGGCACAAGCAGCAAGGTCCCCCTGGGCAGCTCCGTCCCGCTCCCAGCCCTGCCCAGCTCGGAGGACCAGGGGCCAGGTAGGCAGCCCAGACGGCAGCAGTCAAATTCCCAGATCTGAACGAGGTAGGAGGAACACAGGGCTCGGTGAGAGCTCCCCAGCCTGCCGGCTGTTTATTATGCCCCCTGCTGCGACTCACAAGGACTTCAGCCTCAGGGGGCAAGAGGAAGGTCGATAACGCCCATGACCACGGCTGAAACTGAGAGCAAGTCACCACAAACACTTGCTGGCAGATGAATTACAGGAGGAGAGTGTTCTTTCTGTGCACTGGGACAGACAGAATGAAAACAAAGGGAGGCGTGGGGAGCAGTGGAGGGAAAGAGGGAAGGGCAGAGGGACTGTCACGGCAGAGTGGAGGGTGGCGGGCATCAGGGAGCAGGGCCGGGTGGGCCGGGCCAGGCAGGAGGGGTGGGTACATGCACAAGAACTTGGGTGGGCTTCCCATTTCAGCTGAGCTGCCCCTAAACATTCTCTGGGCTTCTAGCCACTGAGGCCTCCCATGTGTCATACGGAGGAACTAAGAAGCATGGGGCTCACTGCTCCCTGGCGTGACTTTGGTTTATAGAACGGATGATTTGGCATGGCCAGAAATGACCAACATAAGGAAGCTTGCACATTTCCCCATACACCACAAGCATAAACACCTCTGAAGAATGCTGGCGTCGAATACAGTGAAGGATAACCCACGAGATGACGCCTACTTGGGTTTCTCACCTCGGAATACGGCCCCACCGGCTTTCTCGTAAGCAGATGTGGAGGGAGCTCCTTAGACAGAACCCTCCCCCTGTCCCACACTCAACCAACTTCACTCCCTGCTCCCCTCTTCCTCCCTAAATTTCTGCCCAGCTTCCGCACTCCCCGACCCGTTCCTACTTTGTCTTAACTACCTTCCCGTTGCATCAGACCCCCACACTGTTCTTCTGCGATAAGAAATAAAAACAATTCATCTTGCAAACTTGGGAGCTGCAGCTCATCTGGTAACAAATGAGTACCTTTGCGCTTAAATCGCCACCACAAAATGCTGACTGCAACTACAGCGCCAGGAAGCAGGGCGGAAGGACAGACAAGCTTGGTCCTGGAGCCCACTGCGTGGTCCTCCTGCCTCTCCCCTAAACAGCAGACTGGTTTTCATTGCACACATAGACAGTGCTTGGCTGGATTCTCCTTCGGATGCGCTCAGGCACTCTGGGGAGGATTTGGAAGGTCTGGGGCAGCAATTCTACGCAGGCCTCGCGGAATTTTTTGATTCTCCAGCAGTAGACGATGGGGTTGAAGACAGACTTGAGGTAGCTGAGCCAGAGGACGCAGGAGCTAGTGGTGTAGAAGGAGGAGCTGCAGTAGAACCTCCGGCTGAACACAGACAGGAGGCTGTAGACCGAGTGCGGCAACCAGCAGAGCGAGAAGCCCACGAAGAGGATCAGGATGGTGGTGAAGGCCTTGGTTTTGAAGCTCAAGTCCACGCTGACCTGCTGTTGCCGCTGGAGCCGCCGCAGGCCAGCCCTGGTGAGCTGTCGCAGGTCCAGGCTGTCGGACTGGTTGTGGACACGGATGGCGTTCTTCCGGACCGTGTGGAGGATGCACAGGTAGGAGCACAGCATGACGCCAAAGGGCACGAAGAACACAGCCACCACCAGCGTCACCACATAGGCACGGTCGGCAGGGAACTCCGTGTAGCCCAGCACGCACTGAGGGGCCCGCGCAGGCACCTCCACGAACGTCCAGCCTGCAAGCAAGGGAGCGGAGACACAGAAAGACAGAGCCCAGGAGATGGCGATGATCGCCTTGGCCCTCCGTGGGTTCAGCTTGTCCTGGCGTTGGACAATGATGAGAAAGCGGTCCACGCTGATGATGAGCAGGATGGCCACGCCCTCCAGGACAAAAAACCAGTAAAGTGTGGCCGAGAGGCGGCAAAAGTAAGTCCCAAAGTGCCAGTGGACGGTGATCAGGGTGACAGCGGTGAAGGGCAGGCAGCATAAGGACAGCATGATGTCGGAGAAGGCCAGCGTGGCCAGCAACAGGTTGATGGCAGAGCGCATGGCTGGCCTCTGATACACGATGATGCAGACGACAGCGTTGCCAAGGAATCCGACCACAACCATCAGCATCATGATTATTGCCAAGGATGTCCTGAGGGGGGCGGGAGCTGCGGTCACCCCAAAATCCAACACATTGCTCCCATTCCGCAGCAAGTATTCGTAAGTCTCAATGGACGTGCTGTTACAGGCCATCATGGAGAAAAACTTGGAGCCGGGACAGAGATGACTGGAAGTGCTCCCTCAGCGCTTTGATGGCTGCTGTTTTCTGTCTGCCGGTTGCATCTTCTTCCCTGATGTCTTGCATCTCTAGGACACTGGAATGGTCGAGAGCAACATCTTTTTTTGGGAGCACTAGCCAGGGTTTGCAGTCCATTGATCACATCCTCATCGTCTCCACGACAACCAATTGTGTCCACCGCTTTGTTCTCGGGGGCTTTTGGTAGCCTAGAGCACAGATGAGCACGAAAGAGAAGGGAGTTAGACTTTCCAAGCACGTGTGGAGGCGGTGTTTTAAATTTTCCAGGTATTCTAAACACTAGAGTGTTGAGAAAGAATGACTCATTTCTTTACCATTTGAGACGAGGCTTGATATTCACCAGTATCATGAGCCTTGTCAAGTAGCCCAGGGAAACCTAATCAGACTTACTTCATGGGGCATGAGGAAGTGAGTGCTTTGCAACTGATATTTATGTAAAGAGCAGGTATTTAATAACTTGGATTAAAAGCAACCTGACTGAGTGAAGCTTTGGACAAGCCAACTTCCTTGAGAATGCCCGCCCCATGAGGGTAGGGAGTTCTGTCTGTTCTCTGCTGGAGCCCCAGCACCTAGAAGAGGGCCTGGAACACAGGAGATGCCCAGTGTTGAGTTGAAGTTGATGAATAAATGGTAGTTGATGCTGCTACAATAACATTTGTTTAACTTTGTTCTGAGATAAGTGGAGATTCACATTCAGTTGTAAGAAATAATATGGCAAGATCCCATATACCCTTCACCCAGTTTTCCCTAATCTTGGATAACTGTAGTGCTGCTATAGTATTACTTTTGGACATGCTGATGGGAAGGAGAAAACTGTCCCCAAAGATAAGGCCTTTTCAAAGACGAATGTTAATTTTTATTTTGTTTCTCTCAGATGTAGCAAGAATCGTGGTCAGTAGCTCAGGTCTGGAGTCTGAGTGCCTGGGCGGGGTGAAATCCAGCCCCCACCACTTACTATCACTGGGCACCAACCTCTGCTTGTGTGACCTCTTCCTCTGTAAGGTAGGAGTAATAATCGGGCCTACTTACAGAGGAGCTTCGAAGAGTAGATGAGAGAATAATAAAGTGTTTTACCACGCCTGGATCACAGGCGGTTCTCAATAAGCGTTTGAGCCCTGAGGCATTTGAGCCCTGAGGCAAACCAATTACAACGTTACAATGGGTAGTGCTTCATTTATATGCTATACACACGCGCATGTTTGCATCTGTTCTGGATCTGCCAACAGGTGAAGTGTCTCCATCCAGAGCAGGGATGTTTCCGGTTCGTTTCCCGGTCCCTCACCCCCAGCCATTTCCAATATAGCTGATTGAACCAGGCAGTGACCCAAGGGCAGCTAATCCGTAGCCTGGCCCATGATGGGATGTAACAGAGGGGTATATAGAAAGAAGCCTCAAGGTGTAGCCAGGCCACAAAGGTCTGTCCGATAGTCTCCATTTGCCCCTCCAAGCCTCCTGGCCACTCTCTCCGCTGGCGCCGGCCTGGGAGACTGGGCCCCCTACCCTTAGGTGGGAGGGGAGAGAGGCGGGATCTTTCTTGCCCTTGCTCCCTCCCACCTGTTGTGGTTGGCAGCAGTTCATTCCTCTCCAAGGTCTCAGCCCCTCCAGGGCAGCCCTCCCTCCGCCCGGCCCTCTCTCTAAGTTCCCTGACTGTTCCCGCCTCAGCCTGCAGGCTTAGGGGTGATGGGCTCCCTACCGCTGCTGGCCCCAGCGTGCTGCTCCAGGCCTCACTGGCTTCCCTTCACCTGGCCTCTCCTCTGACAAGAATGCAAACTGGTGCAGCCACTATGGAAAACAGTATGGAGAGTTCTCAAAAAATTAAAAATAGACATACCATATGATCCAGCTATCCCACTACTGGGTATTTATCCAAAGAACATGAAATCAATAATTCAAAAAAATCTATGCACCTCTATGTTCATCACAGCATTATTCACGATAGCCAAGACGTGGAAGCAACCCAAGTGCCCATCAATGAATGACTGGGTAAAGAAGATGTGGTATATATACACAATGGAATACTACTCAGCCATAAAAAAAGTCAAAATTGTGCCATTTGCAAATTCATAGATGGACCTTGAGGGTATTATGTTAAGGGAAATAAGTTAGACGGAGAAAGACAAATACCGTATGATCTCACTCATATGTGGCAGATGAACAAACAAACACATAGATAACAAGAACAGATTAGTAGTTACCAGAGAGGAAGAGGCTGGGGTGGAGGGTGAAAGGGGTAAAGGGGCACATGTGTATGGTGAAGGATAAAAACTAGACTGTTGGTGGTGAACACAATGCAGTCAATACAGAAGCTGAAATATAATGACGTACACCTGAAATTTACACAATGTTATAAACGAATGTGACCTCAATAAAATAATTTTTTTTTAAATGCCCAAGGTCACATAACAAGAAAAAAAAAGAATCTCTTATTCATCAGGGTCTGGTCTCTTTCCTCTCTGCATCCTGACTGATACAAGGGGTCCCGGCACGTGGAAGCTATGAGGAAGCAGAGACTGAGAGTAAGCAGATGGTAGGAGGCAGAGAAAAGTTCTGTATGTGTGTGCGTAAGGAAACAAACAGAGAAATCTGCTTCAGTTCCTGACAGGTTTCCGGTGAAAGTTGCATTTCCACATTCATATCAATATCGGCTCCTTTCTTTGCTTTTAGTTGAATGTTGAGCTTTTCCTTCTTGTCTAATCTCTTACGCCAACCTTTCCCGTCACCTCTCAGAGACAGCCTCTCTTGAACGTTTTCTGGTTTCAGTTTTGCTGATGTCTAACACCCATAACTCTACATGATTCACTTCTCTCTTGCTTCTTGATCTACTCACTTTAGACGCTCTGTGCCGTCACCATATGAAAGATGAAGGTTGGGCTTGTGCAGCACTGCCTCATTACTCTCTGCCTAATGATCGATGACTTACTCTTTTTAAAATAATTGAGTTACCATTGTAACTGTAAAGAATATACTTAAATGTCTGTATGGTATTCCATGAAATATGGACAGTATCTCTTCCTCTCTACTCATAAGACATGGAATCAGTACCTCTCTCCTTTTCCCACCTCTCCTCTCTCCCTGTCACATCCATTCTGTTATCAATTATGTCTTTACTTTTTACCCAGTTAGGTCATCAATAGTCACCTTCTCTCTGCAGCCACAATGAGGTCTTCTGTGCTTTTTCATTCATTGACTTTAAGAATTTAACTCCCATTAAATGGGTTTACATTTTTATGACTGTGTAATATTGTCTGGGGTGCGGATGGATTGTCTGTGCTGGAATTACTTCTCCCGGACCAGTTTAACAGGATCCTAGAGGGGTCATCCGTGCAAGGAGCACATTCCTAGCAGCAAGGTCAAATGGAGTCTCTTTCCTGACGACTCCTCGAAGCTTTGATGCTGCAAACCTGCCGTATCCCAGTTTGTTTCCTATGCAGCCCGTGACTTTCTTGTGCAGCGTTTTGTTTTCCTTGAGTTTCTTGTTGCCTTTCTCCTTTTTCCTTTTGCTTTATCTAGTTTTTTCAGTCCTGCTTTCTCTGCAGATGGTCCTTCTTCCCAAGGCTATCCCTCCTGGAGCTTTTGCCTCTGCTCCAGCTCTGGCTCTTTGCCCTCTGGGTGGGTGGCACAGCTCCATCGGGAACCGCCTTTCACTGCTCCTCTGTGAAGAAGGCCACTTGTTCCTAACCCTTTGTCATCTTCTTTCTTGTTTTCTTTATTTTGCTGGACAATATCCTCAAATTACTTGCTAAGAAAGGGCTTAGAGGAGGTAAGCTTTCTGAGTCCTTGCATATCTGAAAATCTTTCCTCTGCCTTCCCACTGACGGATGGCTTGGTGGGCTACAGAATTTAGGCTGACACAGTGTTCCCTCAGACACTGGGAAGATTGGTCCTTCTAACATTCAGTGTTGCTGGTATTAGGTTTGAAGTAGATTTGATTCTTTTCCTTCATAGGTGACAAGTTTTTGTCTCTTAAAGATTTGATATTTTCTTTCTGAAAATGGTTTTACAAGGGTGTATCTAGATTTGAGTCTTTTCTCATTTATAGTGCTGGGTACTCAGTGGGTCTTTTAAATCCAAAGCCATGTGCATCTCAACTCTGGGAAAGTCCCTTCTTCATAGCTTCATAGTTTACTTCCTCTCATCTTTCTGGGGGACACTTACCAGTTAGATGCTAGACCTCAGTGACTGGGCCTAATTTTTCATTTCTTTTCCTTTATGTATATTTTTATTTTTGTCTCAGTTTTTGGTCCTTTTTTCACCCCCTAGCCTCTGGGGGATTTTTTAAACCTTATGTTTAGTCCTATTTAATTTCTAATTTTGGCGATCATATTTTAAAAATCTAATAGGGTTCTTATTTTCTATGCCTTTTGCATAGCAACTCCTTCTTGTTTATGGATGTACTATACTCTCAAAACTCTCTGGGGTTATTAGAGATTTTATTTTAGGTTCTCTTCTTTTTTCTCAATTTTATTTGGTTTCTCTGGAGTCAGGGCCTCAGTTTATCTCACCTTTCTCTTTAAGAATGCTGGTTCTCTTCATGGCTAGTGATCAGGCTAAGTTCTAAGGGCTGGCCAGCTGCTGCGGGTGAGTTTCTCCACAAGCTCTCTCACTGAGTGGCATGCCCATGGGTAGCCCAGTGTAGGTCAGGCCTTGTGTCAGGGTGAATGGATGAGGTGCCAGCCCTGGAGCTGAGAGCTTCCCAGTGCCAGGAAGAGTATGGCTTCCCTCTGGGATCCCATCATCCACACTGTAAACCTTCACTACCGCCAATAGCATTGTCAATACATTCATTGAAGAGTCCCCTACTTTTTGCCTAGGGGAGGATATAAATATCTGTAGCCTGAACTTCACATACAGCGAATCTCCCTTTAAAAAAAACTGGTTTGAATGAGTTTCTGTTTTTCCAGTGCAGATGTTAAATAAGTATTTCACATAATGTACAAGGATTATACCAACCTCACCACTCACC